ATCTGCTCAGGGTGCTAGGACTGGCACCTGCCTGGAGAACCCACATTAAGAACGCCGTCCAGCAAAGCCTGAGCTGCTCCTTCAGTGACAAATGAGCCCTGAGAGGGTCTTTGGCAGTGTGACTTGGCCAGGCAAGCCCCTTCCCTTGAGGGCCAAGAATCTCTTTAGCTTTTCTGTTGCCTTTCTCCAGAGGCCTGCACCACGAAAACAAGTTTAACTTCCCAACTCCTGCCAGGGCAAACCCTTCCTCAAATGAGGCCCAGGGCCTAGCAGGCTCATCCCTGGGGCCCCACCCTATTGGTGAGGGACCAAGAGGCCCAGAATTGGAGACTAGCAGTATAGGCAGAGAGGTACACCAGTGAGGGCAGCCAGCAGCTCAAGGATGCCCAAGTCTGCTCTCCTCAGGGCTCAGTCTAGGCAGGGGTGCTCATAGGTCTGGGTACTTCTGATACATCCCATCAGCTGAGGACGGGACAGGATGGTCTGTCTTAGATCAGGGATCATCACTGTCCTTGCAGGGGACTCTCTCAAGTGCCCTAAGTTATCCCTTAGACCTACCCCACAGGTACATCAAAGGCCCACGACTACCACAGCTGTGAGCAATGCTCCGGGATGCTCCAGGATGCTCCGGGACACACTGGCTAGAAGGGTGGTTCTCATTCTCTTGGCTGCTTTTGCATCACTCACATCGGGCTACCGCTCTTGTCAGCAGCTTCTCTTGACAGTGACTTTGAAGTTAAGAGAGGGGAAAAGCAAGGAGCTTCTCCTGGGTTGGTAATCTCTTCTGGGACCTGAGCTGCTGAGGCAGGGTATGCCAAACAAGCCATGCTGAGAGGACAGGTCTACAGTAAGGTGGGACCCAGCAGGGTCTACTTACTGCTCTGGGGGGGGGGGGGGGGCTTGCTTCTGAGAGAGAGGCCATGGCTGCTGAGGTCCTAATGAGTCTCTGCCAATGATGTCCTTTTTCTCCCTGGACCTGAGGCAGCCAGCTGGAGCCTTCCTCAGCTAGTACGAGGAGCAATGTTTCAGACATGGTGGAACAGGCTGATGACAGGGTTCTAAGAAGTGAGGCTGGCACTGAATGCCAGTTCCAACCCAGGGCTTCTGGGGAGGCTGAGGGAGGAGAGGAAGGACATGAAGGGGCGCTCTTCGCTTCCCCATTACCCACAGCTGGTTTTCTTTCAGAACACAGGTTCCTTAGCCTGCTCTTTGCCCCACAGGCAGGAGGAAGACAGATATGAGGGCACCCTGTGATTAGGTGCTGGCTGGAGAAACTGAGGGGAGAAGGCTGTGAGGAGACATGGGGCTCATCTTGCTGCGGTCTTCTACAGAATGACCTCCAGAGTCTAAGGAGCCTCTGTTTACCACAGGGCCATCCTGCATTCTGGGTCCTGGGCTTAGCATCTGATGCTCACGAGTTCATCTAACCCTTCCAACACACCTAGAGGGAGGGAGGTGCCTTTGTTATTTTTCCTTTATGGGAACAGGCTGGCTAACCATTAGGTGGCAGAGCCAGGATTGGACTGGACTGCCTGATCCTAAGGCTTGTGTCCCTAGCCACCAAGCTGCACTGTCACCCAGGAGTGAACATTACCAGGAAGGGATGCCATTCTAGATCCTAACAGAATAAAAATGCTGTGTTGCCTTCACTATGAATGCAATCCTCATACAAACCCTGAGGTGTCACTGAAGGACAAGATGACTTACTGGATGGATATGAGCCTTGCTCCCAAGGCAGGGGAATTCAATGTTTCGAAAAAGCCAATTTCTCAATAGGTGAACCTAGGAGGACAGGAAGGTGACTGGGGTGGGCAGAGTCTGTGTGTGCTGTGTCTCTGTGTTCTGTCTAAAAGGCAGAACTAAAAGGTGTGGACTTCGTTAGCATCATTTCATGGCTCAGGCAGGTTAAATTCCTTATGCAAGGCCACCACCAAGGATAGCCCAGAGGTAGGATTCTGCCCTGTGACTGGAAGCCGACTGTTCAGGCTGTCCACATTCACTCAGAGGGGACACATGGTCCTTCTAGGTCTCTTCTGAGACTGAGTGCCACCCCTTTCCCATGAGAATTCTAAATGTAGGCTGGGAGCCCCCTACGTATGGGAAGCATGGGTCACCTGAAGCCTCCGGGTCCAGCCTATCAGGAAGGCAGAGAGAACCCTGTCTTCAGGCAGATTTTTCTCAGGGAACCAGCAGCTGTCACCTGGCACCTTCTGGGAAGGGGAAGCAGCAGACCCTAGCATAGAGGTCCACCAGAAAGCTCTGAACATGTGCACTGCATTCCATGTTGGGGAAATCAGGGTCACATTCCTCATAACAAGTAATTGGATCTGTAGCTAATGGGAGGATTTCTACTTCAGTGCCAAGAATATTAATTTGACACCTGCAAACTGTTTCTGACAAAAAGGATTCCGATAATGTCTACAAGGAACAGGCGGTAGGGAGGAAACAGCCACTTATCCTGAAGAAAGGAAGACTAGACAATGCATGCCAGAAGGGTGTGGCCTACCAATCTGTCACTCTGGCAGAACTTAAGAACAATGGCAGTCAAGACACTCTGGTGCAGGCTAAGAGGACTGCAGAATACAGTGTGTGTGTGTGTGTGTGTGTGTGTGTGTGTGTGTGTATGTGGGTGAGCTAGGTCTCTGAGCTCTGTCTTCCCCATGCCTGGCTCTTGCATCATCAACACCTGGGTACATGCCGTCTCTTGGGGTTAGTGGCTCTAAACCAGAGTGAGGAATACAGTATAAACCAGAGGGTTTATGACAGTATTACTACTGAGAGAGAAAAACATTTCCAACAGAGGTGACAAATAGATGTCTTACATATACAAAGAGCTTCCTCAAATCAAGAAGCAAAGAAGACAAAGGATTTAGGGCCTTTTCAAAATATAAAACGTTCCATACTGAACTGAGAATCTGCACAGAACAAGGGCAAAAAGGGCTGTGATTCTTCTGGAGAAATCAGGAGGAAACCCAAGTGCCCACCTCCCAGGTGGTTCTATACTTGATGGGACACAGCGGTAGTCACACAGTTAAAGGGGTGGAGTTTGGCTTCAAACAGATCTGGTTTTGAGTTTAGGCTCCAGCATCTCTTAGTTGTGGGCAAGTTAAAGTCTTAGGTTTTTTTTTTTTTTTTTTTTTTTTTGGTGTGTACTGCAAAATGGAAATAACAGAGCTACCTCCTCCCCCAGATCTGCTCTGAGGTTCTCTAACGTCTACAACCAGAGTCCAGCATGGTCTGTGAACCCCAGGCAGCTCCAGGGAGATCAGAGCAGTGCCTGGAAAATTTGGAAAAACCTACCATGGAACACTTCCTGTATCTACTACAGAGGACCCAGGAGGAAAGGACTCCCACTGCCAAGTCCACAGAATGTCCTGAAGGTCAAAGAGACTGGGCAGGGGACCTTCAGGAATGGCACCCTGGTGAAGAACGAGAGCAGGGCACCAACCTGACTCACCAGTGATTATCAAGGTCCCCAGATCCCTTTAGAAAGGCAGGAAAGAGAGGCCATTCTCTCATAGTACCTCCCCGCAAAAAACTGTCCTCAAGATCAGCTTTAATCCTCTCCTCATGAGGCCCACAAGATGTGCCCCAAAGCCCTGACAACATTGGCACTTCGGCAAATCGCGTTTCCACAGCCGCAACCTGAGCAGAGCAGTTTAATGGACTGTATCTCCCCGCTCCCACTAAACACACGCACACACAAAAGCCAGTTCCAAGCAAAGGCGGCTGGCTGGGATTAACAACTCAGTTTAAAGGACTGAAAGCTCAGCTGCTTCCAGTGAAGCCCATGGAAGGAAAGAGGCAATCAGCAGAGTTCTCCCTTCCTTTCTGCTCTGAACCCCTTGGGGAGTCACTCGGCTCACAGGAGAACTGGGCCACACATCCACCTGGCTCTCAAACTGCAAGGGGAAGGGGTGGGGGAGAGGAGGGTGTGTGGGCAGAGGGGCCAAGGGTGGGCACACATCATCTATTTGGGATTTTTCTGGAAATGTAGAGAACCTGAGAGGACCAGGAGGGTGATACCTGCCTGCTGGCTTTTCTCATCAGCCCAGGCTCAAGAAAGCAAATTCAGGTTGCAGGACAGTTGCTAGGGCCCTAAGTTAGCCTCATTCCAGTCTAGGGAAGACCAAGCTGCATCATTCCAAGGAAACTGAACAATGTCCTTTTCTCCCAACCCCAATCCCGTCCTCTCCCATGACCCTATTGTGCAAGTCATATGCCCACTGCTATGTGGAGACAAGACACTGCTCTACGCTCACAGTGACTGAGAGCCCAGACAAGGGAGAGGCCACATCACAGCTTAGACCATCAGCATCCAATACACAGCCAGAAGGGCCCATCTGGATGATGGAGGATCTGTGTCCTCGAAAATAGGGATGCCCTGCCCCTTGGCTAAGAGGCAGGGAGCCCTGAAAAGAATCCCTGCCTGAACTCTGGGGCAAAGATGCCAAGAATGAAGGCAGAGTAATGGTGAGTTGGAATGCCCTGTCCCCATCCAGGCCACCCTCTCCTTTTCACACTAGCAGCTCATGATGACCCCAATAAAGCAAGGCTTTGGGACCAGTTTTAAGTTGGTAGCCCAACTGGTATGCAGCTGAAAGAATACAACCACATAGCCCTTTACACACATCTGTTTCAATGCAAAACACACGTACTTCTGCTATCCTCATCAGACAGAAGAGGAAATCGAGGCAGAGGGGTTCAGGCAGCAAGGCAGGGCCAGACCTTGTTCTCAGGCAGGGTGACCTCAAAGTCACACTCACAACTCTTCCAGGGAAAACAAACTCAGGTAGAGCTATAAACTCATGTCCTACCCCAAGTGTTCCAGAATGACCCTCGGAAGAACTATCCTTCCTTGGAATGCTAAGTGCAGTTTTGGTTTAAGAACACAACATCAACCAGACAAGCATATCTAAGCTATGAAGAGTCCTCCAGCTCACTAAAAGGAAGGCTGGGTAACTGGTGTTTCAGAAAGAAAGCTGGGCTTGAGGACCTACCTCATCGGATTCATCAGATAATGTCTGAAGTAGGATAGGAAAGAGGCTGTCTGTGTGCCGGAACATCTGGAAAGCAGAGAAAGGGGGTGCCTGTGAGCTCCCTGCTCCCGAGACTGGGCTCAGTGCAGACAACACGCTACAGGTCTGTTACTCCCCCGCCCCTTCCCTGGCCCACAGCACCTCACAGCACCTGCCAGCCTTCTGTCTGCCAGGCTTTCTGTAGATGGCCATACCCCCAGCACTGAGTGTGGGCAGGCCCTGAAAGCCCAAGGTGGACCTTTAGATGACCACCGGCCTTCTGAGGAGCTAGGTCCAAGCTCACCTTGCGGGGAGTTTTGATGTAGAGATGGTAGAGCCACTTGAGAACGGCAATCCTGGTCATCATCCCAATGGCTGTGTCACTGAGGTGGCAGTTCAGGACTTGCACAATGCCGTCCAGGTGCAGGGTCACTGGAGCTCTGTCAGTGCTGTGGGCAAGACCAAAACGAAACCTTGAGTCCTTCTGTCCCCATGAGCTGCAGTACCCCCTGGGCCTGCACACTTAGAACCACACTTCTACCCCACTGTCCGGGGACTGGCAGGCAGCTAAGCAGTGGCTCCAAGGAGGGCTTGCTTCTCTGTTTGCACCACAGTTTGGGTGCAGCCATGCTGTCCCCATGTGGGGAGGAGGCCATTCTGCTGGACTCCTAGTCACTTCCCCTTCCTCTACCCAGCACCAGAGACTCTGACAGGCAGAGCTGGCCCACACTGGACCTCTGATCTGAACATCCTGGATGTTTAGCATCCTCAGGGCACCAAGCCAGTCCTCTGCTGATGAAATCAAACTAACAAGTCCAACAGCACAAGGACAGGCCCCTCAAACACTCTGTGGCATCCAAGACCCTCCATGGGCAAGTGAAGACCAACAGTCAAGTGAGGCTGAGGACTGCCCCGTCATCTTGCCACCCTTGTTCCTGACACAAGATTTGTCCTAGAGAGAAGCAGAAGGGCTGCCTTTGAAGTAGAAACTTCTCTGGAACTGGGTGTGAGGTGGGGGCCTGTCTAAGAGAATACAAGACTGTTCAGACAGTGCTGTAGTTCAAGTTAGGCCTGGAGCTCCCACACACTGAAGCTCTCTGGTCTCCACTAACAGAAAGGGCATAGTAAGCAACCTGGTGAAGGCCAAGTGATGCTCAGAGACTGAGAAGCTCTGCTCAAACTGGCTGGCCTCAAACCCAGAGATCCAGCTGCTTCTGTCTCCTGAGTGCTAGGATTAAAGGCTACCAGACCTGGTGAGGCTGGGTTTTCAAGGTGGGGCAGCACAGGAAGGAAACTTTAGGAGTTGGAGGGGCTCCTCCTCTACCATCACACTGCATTTCCCCAAAGTGATGACAGCGCAGGCTGCATTTTCTGCATTCTGGGGCCAGGTGGTTCCACTGTCCACCTATACAGAACTGTCTTTCTTGGCCTTTCCAGGCTATTCAATTATTCATCTGTACCAGGAACTTGATGGCTGTGCATTCCTCATGAGCCTGCAGATTCTGAAGCTCATGTGTTGTGACTCCTAAGGGGTGTGTCTCTATAACCACTAGGCAGCAGAATTGCTGTTCAATATACTTTGGTGGTCCCCTGGGGCCTGTTTCAGGGTTGAGAGTGGGCATTCCAATCTCAGGGACTACATGATCTCAGTATGTGACACAGGACAGAACTCAGAATACAGCCTCTGCACAGAGGAGGTAGCCACTGCGCTTTCCCAGGAGTCACTGGCTAGGCGTTCCTGATATGGTTTTTGAGCATTTCAAACTGTCAAGGTTTTGGCAACAAAAGATAGGCTGGGCCAGAGAGGCAGAAACAGTGGCCAGCCAAGCCCTTTATCACTCTATCCTGTTCTCTGTCCAACAGAAACACAGTTGTGCCACAGATGGCCTTCTACGTTCTCTAGTTTCTAAGTCAAAATTAGCTTTCATGTTTTAACTAAGCCAAGACATTAGCATATCAACATACACTCAATAAGCTGAACATAAAGATCACTACTGAGGCGCTCTACACCCTCCTTGAGTCCTAGGCTTTGAAATCAAGCATGTATTTTCCATCAGCAGCATAGCCCAGGTCAGGGGGCTCGGCAGCCAGCACAGCAATTCACACAGGCTCTCAGGATTTCTTCACACTCCATCTCTCTCTGCCGATGGTCAGAGCTTCCTGTCTCACATCCAGGTCTTCCTTTGCTGAATCCTGGGCTGATCTTGTAGAGCTCCTTATGGAGTGATGCCTGCCACGGTCTAAGGCTTCAACAAGGCAGGTGGATATTCAAGAGTAGCTACCACCTTCTCAGCCATACTTTGATAGTGCTGTTCTCTAGGGTCTGCAGTGGGTCCTTTTTTCAGCAGGAGTAACAGGGTGTTCAGGATATTATCCGGGGGTCCTGTGTCTGAGGACTACTGCTACATTTCAGCAGAATCAGCCCCCAGTAGCCCCTTCAGGTGGTGCCGTGTCAAACCCACACAACACAGGAAACTGGCAACACTGTGCATGTTGATGCTCTTCAATGCTGTCTCCCCCGCAACCCCCTCCGCAAGGTGTAAGCCTCAACCAACAACCATGAGGTCATGGAAGGGACCTGAAGGTTCATGCACCCAATCTGCCAATGCACAGAGGAGCAAACCTGGGTCCAGAGGCAGTGTGAGACGCACCAAAGCCAAGAGGTCAAGGGCTGAGAACTCATTCTCTTAGCTCAAGACATCCTTTGGGGTTCTCTTCCCTTGGCTAGCTCAAGGTGAAGGTCATGGGAAGCAGCTGCACATCTATCTTAGTGCCTGGCAAAGGAGGGTCAGGATCCCATCTGCCCTTGAGCAGGCAGTTCTCAGCTGCTCTCTTGGGTGGTGCTGGCTGCTGAGCTCTGCCTGTGCTTGTAGGGAGCAGGGGCTGTGGGGCCTTCCTGGGGGTGGGGTGTGCTTACACAAAGTGATCAGCTTTCCTCTAATAGGCCAAGCCTGAGATGCAGCATCCTCTGCTCTGGCTAACCCATCATGAACAGGACAGCGCTCACAGGAGGTTTAAAATACATTTCTATACCGGTTCCAAAATGTCTAGACAAGTCACTCCTGAGAGCTTCTGAGTTATTTCGAGGTGTCCTCAGCAAACATCTTTTTTTGGGGGGGTGGGGTAAAGCATCTCCTAACGAGTCTCACATGTACATGCATTACAATGCAGCAGCACGGCACTGCTGCAGCTTCAAGCACAAACCTGCCCAACCATGCTTCCGATGCCACCAATACACCACCACTTAGCGGTTCTCTGGGGCACAAGTGTATTTTGTAGTATTTAACTTTCTATTCTATTCATATTATAGCTACAATCAAATTGAAGGAAGGGCAACTCTAAAGAGAGCTTATGAATTCAACGTTGCCTTTCTAAAAACACCAGGTCATTACACACTCTTCAGTCAGCAATCCCTCAAAGTTGGGCAGCACCAACTTCTAGACTTTTCTTCTGGATGTGGTACAGGGCAGCCAACCATGCCAGGAGAACAGTTCTGAATGGTCACTGATGACAGCACGGCCTTTGGCAAGGCCCTAGCTGCCAGGGGGAAGTCTATTCACCTGTCCAAAAACCTGCCAGATGTATCAGAGAAGCCAGTGTGCAACTTTCTATAACTCTTGAACAACAATTCATCAAGCAAATGCTGGTGCTCTGGAGCCAGACAGGCTAGCTTGGATTTTCACGTCATCACTCATTAGCCGGGTGCTTCCAGCAAGACTTAACCTCTCTGTCCTGTCTCCTCATTTTGATGATGGGGCTGAGGAGGGGCTTGTGATAACCAGTGAGGTTAAGTGTGACCAAGTACACACTTGCTGTCTGCCAGGCACTGTTCCAGGCTTCTCACATACCTTAACTCACTTACATCCTGTTCCTCTCTGGGGTCAATGCTGTCGCCCCACTCCAGTTTATACATGGCAGGCAGGATGTGAACTGGGCCCCTTTCTCTTCAGAGGAAGGGATGCACCTGGTGTGCAGAAAGGCAGGAGTGGAGAAACCCTCACTCTGCTGCTGTCCTGCCCTCCACCATGCTTCCTCCATTCTGCTGTCTTTTCTTTCCACCTCTCAAGGAGGCCTGTTTTCAACTCTCCCTGTGGAGGGTAGAGGAGTCCAGACCCCTTGGACTGGTGCTACTTGACTGTCTACCCACTCAGACAGAGATGTCACTATTTATTGAGTGGCTCTTTTGGTGGCTAAGCCTGGGCTCCAGACTGGGAGAGGAAGTCATCTGTGGTCTCTCAATGCTTTGGACTCCCTGTACCCAGTCTGATCCCTGACCAGCTAATGGATTTGGAATTTTATATGGCTGTATGTTTCCTAGGAGAAGGGTCCACAGCTTCGTTAGACTCTCTAAGGACTGGTGATCTCTAGGAGGCTAATGACCAGGAAGTCTTCCTTCTAGCCACTGTTCTTAGCTGGCCATTTGGGTAGTGCTCTGGGTAAGCAAAGCATCTACAAAATGAGAGGGCAGGGTGCGTTGTGCCACCCTGAATGATGCCATCTGTGCACACTCAATGGCTCTGGAGGGAGCAGCCAGAGGTTTGAGCATCTAGCCTGTTCTCACAGCTCCTGTGGCTGCACCCTTCCTAGACAGGCTGCAGGCTGTGATGCTACCACAAGACGGTCTTCCTGCCCCAGTGCAGCTTGCAGGAATCTTCTTGTGTTTTGTTTCCTGTTTGTGTTTTCAAAAGGTTGGATTCAGCACTGGCTTCTGAGTGACAGGTATAAACTAAACCTGGTTCCAGCTAGCTGGAACACAGGAACTGAAGTCTCTGTAGGCTCACCTAGAAGAGCATAAGTTTCCAAATGACAGGTGGTAGGAGGTCATGCCACCTCTGTAGTCCATCAGTCACGCACTGTCTCTGCTTCCTCCTTATCCCACTGTCACTCTCTGAAGCTTGACAGTCTCTGTAGCCTGGAGTCCAGTGTCCAGTCTTTCTGGCTACAAGTGGCAGCACATAAATCCCCTCACTGACCCTGCCACGCTATTGGCTTCCAAAGCCTCCATGTCTAGAGTGGAAACCTCCAGAGGATTCACATATCCCCTGCCCCTCTGCCCATACCTGAGTTCCCAAACCTAGTGTCCACACTGGCCTCCCCTCTGAGGATGCCTAGCATCCCCTGGGGCCACATCTAGAGTGCCAGTCACACCTGTTTTTCCCTTCAGTCCAGCTCAGGAATGTGCCAGGCACGCTGGGTTTAGTTCTAGCTAAGTATCTAGAGGTTACCCCTCCGTTCCTCTCATGTATTCCATCCTGTTCATCAGCAAAGCTGCCAAGCCTACCGTTCAACCCCCCTGCCCCCCCCAGCTCCTCAGAGTGCAATCCCTTCTCTCCAGCCACCCTGACCCTCTCCCCAGTCCATTCTGTATGGATCCACCCTTTCCCCACCCCCTCCCATCCCTAAAATAGACACACTGATGCTGCCAAGCCTGGACTAAACACTAGCAAAATCTCAATGGTCTGACATCAGGTGAGCCCCGAGCCTGGCTGCAGGACCCCTAATCCTCTGCGGTGCAACCGGCCTCCTCTACAGTTCTGCAGTCTCCTGGGAACTTGATGGCTACTGTTGTCTCCCATAAAGTGTGCCAAAGTCAGGGTCACATTTACCATCTGACTCTACCTCAGAACCTGTGGGGATGAGCCCAGGCAGGTGCTCTAGAAATGTATGACAAGCAAGTCAAAGGGAGTGGGTGACTGGCCCTTACTTATGCTCCTGTTGCTCACTGGGGGAGGCAGCACTGGGGTGCACGTTACTGAATTCAATACCTGCGAGCTTAGAAATGATCCTTGGGTCTTTAGGGATAGCAATACATTAAACACGATACAGAAGGGAGATCCCGAGGATCTGAAAAGAGCCTCCTAAAGTGGAGCGGGCATTTTCTCCTCAGAAAAAAATGGCTCCTCAGGCCCAGGTTCAACGTCAAGTTTAGAGGAAATCCACTATAGGGGAATTGCCACCCACACAGCTTCAGCAGATAGTCAGCAGACTCAGCCCGGACAGGTCGCATTGGAAAGGCAGGGGATGACTTTGCTCCTAGCCTGCACTGCCCCCCTGTGGAAGCCTGTGCTGTGACAGCCATCCTGAGAGAAGGCAGAAGAAAGTTCTTGTGCCTGCACCTAGATCTACCATGGTCATGATTCTGATTGCTGTGCCCTTCCTGTCTTCCATGCTTCTCCTGCTCAGAGTCAGCCTCGCCTTGGATAAGGAAAGGGCTCTGGGTGAAGGCATCTGCAGCCTCACAGCTATCACCACACACGGCTGGGCTTTTAGAACGTATATTGACTGACCCAGCAGCTCCCAATCTTTCTCAAAGGCCAGAGGAACTGGGTGGAGGAGCTTTCCATGAAATCCTTCCGATTTCCTCCTTTGTGTACCAGGTACTCCCCAGACAGTGGCGTCAGACAGTTCTCCTTGGGTCTTTGCTGCAGTCTCTTGCACCCAGAAAGCTCTAGACCACTGGCTTTTCACAAACCATTTACCTGGCTGAGGTGAAGACGCTGATGCCACTTCCGAAGCTGGAGTCACAGGAACCACCTGGACCTCCTGGGGAGGAAGAGGAACAAGGTGAGGCTGAAGCCTGCCTGCTCATTTGTAGAAACAAGACCCTGGTCCCCAGCACCCACACTTCTATTTAGGCTCCTGAAAAGGAAGCCAAGGACCCAGTGCTTCTGCAGTCCCTAGGTCTTAGGGGATAGCAGCCAGGTCTGACTATTTCTAGGCACAGGGGACACTCATGCTGAATACAAACGGAACATTTCAGAAGGGCCTGCAGACCCAAGGGCAGTGCCTGCATATGAATTGGGTTATTGACCACCTTAGCTATCAGGGAATGCAGCTAAAGTTCAAAATGAGATACTATTTCATCCCCACCTGGAGGGCTAAGGTAAAAAGGGAGAAAATGGTTAGTAAAGGTGAGGAGGAACAGAAACTCTTCTGCATTGCTGGTAGAAACGTGAAATGATGTTGCCACTGTGTACAACAGGTTGGCAGGTCCTTAGAAGTTAAACAGTTATCCGGCAGCCCAGCAATCTGCTCCAATAACTCCACCCAAGAGCAATGGAAACCTGTGTCCCGCAGAAGCTGCACTTTATGGCAGTGCAGCTACCTACCACAGTCAAAAGGTGGAAGCAGTCCAAAGGTCTGTGTGGGGATAAACAAAATGAAGTATTACTCAGCAACCAAAGAGGAACAGGTTACAGAATGGATGAACTTTAAAGATATGCTGAGTCAAAGAAGCCAATTCCAAAAGATTACATACTAAGATTCTATTTATAGGAAATGTCCAGAACAGACAAGTCTGGAGACAGAAAGTAGATTAGAGGTTGCCTAGGGTTGGAGGATTTGGGGGGAGTAGAGTGTGATGGGCAAGGGCTTCTTTTTAGGTCATTGAAAATGCTCTAAAATTGGTTGTGATCATTATATAACTTGGTGAATATAGAATACAATATACAATACAATAAAAGGGTTAAAAAAGATTCTGGGAAAGAACTGTGACCTTGTACTCTCCACAAGTCCCTCAGCATGTGGCCAACTCAAAACCTTTACTATACTTAGCTTTCTGTTGCAGGCCCCAAGCAGAACAGGACTGAGATAATTCCAGCCTTTTCTTTTGGCACCTAAGTTTCCTAAAGAGCTAAGACATTGTGCTCTGGAAGATATGTGGAAGGCTGCCAGTAGGACTCTCTTCTAACTAACCCCAGTCCTGACCAGGAACTGGTCACAGCTTAGAGAATCAAGGAAAGGAGGAAGTCGGCAGTGTGAGGTGCTCAGATATAAGATCAATATCACCAGTCAGTACTGAGTCAATGCAGCCCCAATAGGATGCCCTGCAAGGGACTTCTGCAGTGTCCTTCCAAAGCGCCTAGCTTTAGGAAGCATGGGAGAAAATGTGAGACAGACTCACGTGGAGAAGTGTCTGCAAAGTGACTGGCCAGCCCTTCACAAGTGTCACAGATTGGAGGTGATTCAGAGGACAGCAATGAAGTGTAGCATGGAGTTTTAGAATCAAAGGAACAGGAGGGAAAAACTGGGCACAGCCAGGTTAGGTGTACAGTGGAGTCAGCAGTGTCCTACCAAAGTTCCAGACAGCTCAGAGAAGGATACAAAAGGAGCTCTTTATTCTTCGGCATTTTTTTCTGTACTCTTAAAATTATTTTTTAAACGTGATTCTTTTTAAACCTAGGAAAATATATAGACTGCAGACAGTATCAGTCTCATGGAGATGAGAAACTGAGGACAAAGGACATTCTATGACATGCTCTCAGTCAGACAGTATCAGAAGCCTGGAATTTTTCCAGAGAGCTATACACATATTAAAAGAGAGAGAGAGAGAGAGACAAAGAGAAAAAGTTGTTTGTCTTAGTTTCTGCCTGGGATTTTTGTCATAGTCATCTGTCTCCTGTATTCTCTCTAAATTGTTAGTGCTTATCAATCAGGCCCGGTTAAAAATTTCTTGACGAGGATACATGGAGAGAATTTCTCAACTAGACCAACAGGCAAAAATCATAAAGAAAAAAAAAAAACCCTGATAGGCTAACTGAAATTGATAACTGGCGTTCCCTGCTTTACTGGAGGCCATGCTGATACCCAGAACCCCGGGTAAGCTCCCACCCGCAGATCAGATCGCTAACACTCCCAACCAACCAACTAACCAACCCTCCCCCATCACAATCCTGGCCTACAACTCTGGAGAAAGCCCCCTGTTCTACGAGATTCCACACCAGAACCCCAGGTAAGACCCAGAACCCCAGGTAAGACCCCAGCCTGCATACATCAGTACTCCTTCAGTGCCCTGCCAGCCTGCCCCCAACCACCCCTCCTCCCCTCGTCACTATATCCCGGGCCCACAATTCTGGTAGAAGCCCCTGTTCCACTAGAGGCCACACAGGCCCAGAACCCTGGGTAGGCTGGTAACCCGTGGACTGCCCCCACTTTCTCAGTGCTTGCCCAGCCCAGCCCCACCCACCTTCCCCTCATCCTGGCCCCCAACTCCAATGGAGGCACCCTGCTGGACCAGAGGACACGCAGGCCCCCAAAACCACAGGTAGCCCACCAGCCCCAGCACTGCCCCACTCAGTGTCCTCCTAGCCTACACCTAATCATCCCACTCTTCCCCATCACCGTACCTCAGCCCCCAACCCAGCTGGACAGAGGCCACACTGGCTGCCAGAACTCCAGCTCCAACTTGAGTAGAGACCGTCTACTCAACCACAGGCCACTCCAGCCAGAGGACTAGAGAGGAAACAGAAACCAAGGAAAAAAAACATCCATCCAACAAAGACAAGCCCAGAAGTCTACACGAGACCTCTAGTTAGCCCAAACCCAGATGCCTAGATGCCAGTGAAAGAACATAGTCAACAACAGCCAGGGCAGGCAGCATGTCTCCACCAGAGCCGGCTGTCCTACTACAGCAAGTCCTAAACATCTCAACACAGCTGAAGCACAAGAAAGCCACCTTAATTTATGGCCAGCCTGGGCTACCAAGAGAGATCCAGGAAAGGCGCAAAGCTACACAGAGAAACCCTGTCTTGAAAAACCAAAAACCAAAAACAAACAAACAAACAAACAAAAAAAACAAAAACAGAAAACCCCCCAAAAAAAACCAGAAAATCTAATTTATGAACATAGAGGTCCTTAAAGAGGAAATGAATAAATCCCTTAAAGAAATCCTGGAAAAACTAAACAAACAAAAAATCAGAGGAAATGAATAAATCCCTTAAAGAAAGCCAAAAAAAGACAAACAGTTGAAGGAAATGAATAAAACTGTTTAAGACCTGTAAATGAAATAGAAGCAATAAAGAAAAAAAAACAAAAACAAAAACAAAAAACAAAAAACAAGGGAATCCTGGAAATGAAAAAACTAGGTAAGTGAACAGGAACTACACACAAATATCACCCAAAGAATATGAGATGGAAGAGCGAATCTTAGGCGTTGAAGACATGATAGAAGAAAGAGGTACATTGGTCAAAGAAAATATTAAATCTAAAAACTTTCTGACACAAAACATCTAGGAAATCTGGGACACTATGGAAAGACCAACGATAATAAGAATATGCCAGGTGGTGGTGGCACACACCTTTAATCCCAGCACTCAGGAGGCAGATCTCTGTAAGTTTGAGGCCAGACTGGTCTACATAGTTGATTGAGTTCCAGGACAGCCAGGGCTACACTGTGAAACCCTGTCTTAGAAAAAAGACAAAAAGAATCCCCTCCCAAAAAAAGACAAAAAAAAAAAAAAAAAAAAAAAAAAAAAAAAAAAAAAAAAAAAAAAAAAAAAAAAAAAAAAAAAAGAATCATAGGAATCCCAGCTCAAAGACCTAGAAAATATTTAACAAAATCATAGAAAACTTGACTAACCAACGTAAAAGACATGCCTATAAAAGTACTAGAAGCTCACAGAACACCAAATAGATTTGACCAAAAAAGAAAGTCCCTTAGCCACATAATAAACAAAACACTAAACACAGAACAAAGAAAGAATATTAAAAGCTGCAAGGGGAAAAGGCCAAGTAACATATAAAGGCACACCTATTAGACTCACACCCGACTTCTCAATGGAGACTCTAAAAGTCAGAAGGGCCTGGACAGATGTCCTGCAGACTTTAAGAGACCACAGATGCCAACCCAGACTACTAGACCCAGCAAAACCTTCAATCACCATAGATGAATAAAACAAGATATTCCATGATAAAGTCAAATTTAAACAATCCACAACTCCAGCCCAAAGAAGGTACTAGAAGGAAAACTCCAACCCAAGGAGGTTAATTACATCTACGGAAACACAGGAAATAATCTCACATGAGCAAAAATAAAAGGGAAAAACACACACCACCACCACCACCACCACCACCACCAACAACAACAACACCAACAACAACAACACCAACAACAACAAAATAAAGGAATTAGAAATCATTGGTCATTGATATCTCTCAATATCAAGGACCTCAATTCCCCAATAAAAAGATAATTACAGACTAATAGAATGGATGCAAAAACAGCATCCATCCTTCTGCTGCACACAAGAAACACACCTCTACATCAAAGATAGACATTACTTCAGAGTAAAGGGTTGGAAAACATGCTGCTGTAGCCATTCTAATATCCAACAAAACAGACTTCAAACCAAAACTAATCAAAAGCGAAAGGGAAGGACACTTCATACTCATCAAAGGAAAGATCCACCAAGATGATCTTTCAATTCCTAATATCTCTGCCCCAAACACAAGGACACCCATGTTTGTAAGGAAACACTACTAAAACTTAAATCACACATCCACCCTCACACACTGATAGTGGGAGACTTCAATACCCTACTCTCACTAATGGACAGGTTATCCAGACAGGAACTAAACAGATACTGGAGCTCACAGATGTTATGAACCAAATGGACCTAAGGGGTATCTATAGAACAAAACTCCCCCCACCCCAACAAACACAAAAGAATATACCTTCTTCTCAGCACCTTGTGGAACATTCTTGAAAACTGACCACATGCTTGGTCACAAAGCAAGTCTCAACAGATATAATAAAATTGAAATAA